TTAAATCGAAAAGTACTCCGTGTTTGTGTCTGTGTATGGCCATCATCTAAGGACTGTTCCTTATGGCAGTCTATGGGGGAGGTCTATGTTAAGCAGGGAATAGATAAGGGGTGATACGATGATGATGATGTCTAATTTATACCATGGGTTACCCATTTCTTTCTTCCTTCCTGTGGGTGGGTACGCAAAAACATCTTTTGATTTTTTGGCGTATCTTCAAGAGTGCTAAACTGATTTTGTTAGTTTGAAAGTGACCCTTTCCGATTGTCACTGTCATTATGGTCTTATACCAATTGTCGTGTGTGATTACATATAGATTGCAAATATTCTCTCTAGTACGTAGAACAAAATCTTAAATGATAATGAGTCACTCGATTGTCTAAAGTATCAAGAAGTAATTATTTTATAACACTACATTAGACCCAACTGTGAGGTATCATTTCTTTAAACCTATCTCTTAACTTTATATTTTATTTTGATAATTTCTGGAAATTACCGTCATAGATATTTTCACTTGTGCCGGCAGCACACCTGCAACGCCTTTAGTGTTGTGGGTGATCATGGGCGGTGGTAGTCACTTACCATCAGGTGAGCCGCATGCTCGTTTGCCCCCTGAGTTGTAAAAAAAAAAATTCTGGCCATGTAGTCCCGACATAGAACATGCCACTCATTCCTTTCTTATGAGTGTCATAAGAGACAACTAAAGGGACTTAATAGTAGAGGAATGTGGAAATGCATCGCAGAACCCGCCTGGCAAGCGTGGCAACTACTGGCAAAACTCCCCTTATGGGTATATATATATATATATATATATATATATATATATATATATATATATATATATATATATATATATATATATATTCAGCAGTGAATAGTTAACTTAATAATTATATATATATATATATATATATATATATATATATATATATATATATATATATATATATATATATATATATATTCGTTGTAATTAATAAATATATATAAATATTAAATTGAAATATCAAGAAATAGCGCATCAGAATTAGGCCCAATGTGTCACAGTTTAAATTAACCCGTATTTTTATTAAAAATTCAAAAGTTACAGCGCTCGATGTGATTTTAAACAGAAATGTTTTGTTGCGCGAATAAAAGGATTGTTGTGGGTTTGCGGGTGTTTTAAACAAACGCTCGTACTCGTATAAATCTTTTGTGGTATCAATCTTGTATACAAAATCTGACCTCCTTTATTGCAACTTCAATTTTAAAGAGATTTAATAAAGTATCCAAAACTTAACAAGCTTTTTTTTATTATAATAGTAACTTTCTGATCATCATGATAGGCTAACAGGCCTGTTTTTATTCTCATCGATCACCCTTCACTGGTGCTCCGCCAGCGTATCCCGTTCAGCGTATCAGCGCAGGCGGGGTCCATTTTTCATCCACCAAAAAAAACCACCTGCGTTAACGGTATACGCTGGCGGGGCACCAGTGAGAGATGATGGGTGAGAATGAAAAGGCAGGTCAGTTAGCCCATCGTCATGAATACACCTGGAATTCAGCATTGTGGTATCCAAAAGGGGCCACGTGGAGGTCGACCTGACAAGGTGTATCCAATCCCACTGCTGCTAGCAGTGGGATTGGAATTTTTTCATCAGTACACTTGTGCGAAGCCGGAGCGGGTATCTGGTATATTTAAAAAAAGAAGAACCTCTTTTCAATTCGGTTGTGTTTTTCTTTTATGTTTATTACCTCATAACTCCGTCTGTTATAAACCGATTGGGAAAACAGATTTTTTCCTAAAAAAAATTTACTCGCAGACATGTTATGGTTCCACAGAAATTTTATCGAAATCAGTTCAATAGTTTAGTTTTTAAGCCCAAATAACTCTTTTGCCACAATTGAAGTCGGTTTTTCGTGGAACAGAATCTTAATTTTAAAGTCAATTGAAAAGACAAAAACAAATTATCTACATATAAGTACATACATATCGCCTTCGGAAAGTAATGAACCTAAACGAATATACGTACGTATATACGTCTTCCTTATTCTTTCATGAATTCTTTTACAAAGGAGTGTAAAAAATCCTTTGTAAAGATTGTCAAATTGAATTAAACTTTTTGAAAGCAACGTTAAATTTGAGTGCGTTCATAAAAGAATTGTATTGGCACATTTTCTCGTGTCGCTAGCGGAATACAGGGGAATTGTACTCACTATAACTGAATTAGGAGCTTTGTATAGCTTCTAACTTTTTGCCACGTGGATTAAATCTCCTTCTATTAGAATTTTGCGTAGTTTATCTTATATATAAAATTCTCGTGTCACAGTGTTTGTTACCAAACTCCTCCGAAACGGCTTTACCGATATTTGAAATTTTGTGTGCATATTGTGTAGGTCTGAGAATCGGCCAACATCTATTTTTCATACCCCTCAATGATAAGGGTGACCCACCCCAAAATATTATTTATTATTTTTTTGTAAATTTTTTTTAATTTTATTTTGTTATAATTTAGCATTGAAAAATACATACAACTTTAAATTTTCATTGTTTTACGATCAACCCATGTATTTTAATCGAGATTTTTATATTTCGCGATAAGTGGTAAAATAACGTTTACGGGGTCAGCTAGTATTTTAATATAACTTTAACGGATGGACGCCCAACAGTTTGCTTACTGTCTGATAAAATTTGAAAGATTAGAAGCAGCAAATAATAGCTAGCTCTTGTTGCCAGAATTAAATCACTCGAAAGACCTAATTAGGGGGTTTCGGAAAATTACTCTAAGAAATTAATTCTCACTGGACACTGCAAACTAAACAAGCACATTGCCCAACCAGGCTTATGCCCAAGTTAAGTGTTTGCAGACCGTCACAATATATAAGCGATAGAAATGCATAATATTTGATATCTATATACTGAGTTTTCTGGACATTAATGCGATATCTATATTTACTACGAACGGGTTCTTCTTTTTCATGTTATATATTGGATAAGAAATTTTACCAGTGAGAGACTTTGTACAAATGTCGTTTGCTTGGGTACCTCTGTCCGTTGTGTTTCAACCGTAAAGCAGTTGTGTTTTGCATGGCTGTGTTTCGGTTTGAAGGATGGGATATGGCGTGAATTTACAGGGTACAGAGGAATAACACCTGAGTTGTCAGGAATAACAATGCATGGGGGGTATCATGGGCAAAACAGTATACTGTGTTATGTCCATGGTACTGCTCATGTCTGTAGGCGACGGTCACCACTTTCCATCAGGTAGGCCATCAGCTTGTTTGCCATTCTAATTTGTATAAAAAAAAATGGCCTGGGATAGAACTGGCTGGAAGAAGATGCATGAATTAGTTGCGACACCGACAAGAGGAAACGCTTAAATGATAAGAAGTAGACTAAAAATATAAATAATTTTATTTTAAAACCGCCAACGAGTACATGACATTCTAAAGGTTTAGAAGTCAACCTAAGTGAGAATGCCTATAGCATTAAATCCGTCTTTAGTATGACATTTTAATAATTATTAAGGTTTAAATAAATAAATAAAAAGAATATTTAAATCTGAATGAATCTACCTACGTATGCGGAGTTATTTATTATGATGAAATTAACTTTTAAATGTACAAAGGAAAGATAAAGCCTTAGAGGGTTTACTAAACAGAAAAGATGGAAGTAAATTAAAATGCCGGCTACTTAACCAAAACTTACCTGCTTCAATTAGCTCCACTTTATCCTTAATAGCTTAAGAAGCTTTTGTTTTGAGATAATAACGAGAACTTTCATAAAATATTCTGTCGTAGTTTGCAAGAAAATTCTGCATTGGATGCAACGGTGGCTCAGTTATGTACATAGTTATATTTTTAACTAGCAAATCTACCTTGGACGCAATTTACTATTGAATTTATTTAATAATATAAAGTTAAAGGATTTTATTGAACTTGATATTGTTTTCGGAATATCACTTTTTAGTTGTTTAAAATTTTTTTTTGTTTTATTCCGCTACATTTAGTATTAGTTTTTTTATTATTATTTCAGCCATTAACTGTTAACTGCTGGACATAAGCCTTCCCCATAAGTGGAGTTTTGTCAGTAGTTGCCACGCTTAGCAAGCAGATTGGCACCCTTAGTTAGTCTTTGGTGATGTTTTAAAAGGGATACCGCTGCCCATCTTATGACCATTGAGTTCTTTTAGTTGACTCTTACGACACCCGCGGGAAAGAAAGGGGTGGTATTCTATGCCGGGACCACATGGCGTATTAGTATAATGAATGGGTATAAATAAAAATCAATTGCACATTTTTTTTAATAGATGATAATGGCATGGTAACCCTGCTTGTGCTACGGTATACGACCTTACGACCCAGAAGGGGCACCAGGAAGGGATGATAAGTGAGGATAAAGCAGGTAAGTTGGTCATCGAATTCAACAATGAATCAATCACGATGGTTTACAGGGGGTCCGCGTGGAGGTCCACCTGATAGGAAATATTGCTAGCAATGGTGCCACTAGTCCTCTCTACCAACAATCCTTTTCCCTCTCATTTGTCCAATGTATTGTAAAAGTATTGCTTCAGAACGGCTACTCGTATTTGGTTATTTCTTTTACGTTTCTAATTGTTGGTACAGGATTTGTAGGATAGAAAATTTTTGAAAAATTATACAAAAAAGTAAAAAAATTGGGTTAGAATCTCCATAAAATAAAGTGAAAGAGACAGAGAATGTGGTCTTATTTTCTTTATTAGAACAGCAAGAGTGGTTTTTTTTAATATGTGATAGTCCGATAATGGATTAAACAATTGCTCAACATATTAATGATAAATGAATGAATACAGTTATTAAGCAAGAAAACTGTATTACACTTACAACCTGTTACAATTTTTATCACAATTAATAGACGTGTGTCCATTTATACATACATATCAGTTGACCTAGTATTACAACATTGTACTTTCACAATTTTCAATTGTTTTTAACGATAATTTAAGTACATATATTTACTTTAATGTATATATAGGCTTACAACTTCACCTGTTATATATATACATTGATCGGATCAATGTATAAAGTGGAATCGCACAAAATATTTTTTTAAAAATGTTTCGTTTCATTTTGATCGTATTTGCGGTTTGTTTTTTAAAGGTATGTAAAGATAGTGAGTTTATTATTTTACATATATCTTTAGTATATATTTTGTGATTGTAAGATTATATATTATTATAATACATTTTGAAGGTAAGGTAAAATAAGTTGAAGGCCTTTTAAATAACCATATAATATAATATAAGATAATAAGGCCGCCATTTGTATCTGTTATGTATATTAATATTAAACCCTTTTTTTTTGGTGCAATAAAGTGTAACATAAATAAATATAGTAATAATAAATAAAATGTATATAAAATTATAAGTAGGTAAACTTATTCTGGTGATGTCAAATAATTAAAAAATAAAAACTTGAAACATTTTATATACTAAGGAACGGTGTCTATGCATTTATATATAATTACTAATTATAAATCGTAATATTAAAAATACCGATATATTTATCTGTAATTTAAAATTTTTTATTAATTAATATTTTCATCAATTTTTCATCAGTTCATTATTCTTTTATAAATTTATGAAAGTAATTCACATATTTTAACCGACTATAAAACAGAAGGAAGTTCTCAATTCGGTAGATTTTTTATATTTATCATCTCATAACTCTGTCATTTATGAACCGGTTTGGAAAAATCTTTTTTATCTTATAGGATACACTTTCAGATTGGTCCTATTGAAGTTTTATGAAAATGAATCAGAATCAGTGAGAGATGATAGGTGAGGATGAAGCAGGTCAGTTAGCCCACCCTGATGAATATAACAATAAATCAATCACTATGGTTTCCAGGGGGTACCGCGAAGAAGTCGACCTGGCAGGGTATATCGCTAGCAATGGGGCTACTAATCCCCATTACTAACAATTTCTTCTTCCCCCAGTCTTACAAGTTGTGCTTTTTTTTAAATGGGTGATAATGGAATGGTAACCCCACCCGCGCAATCGGTATACACCGTCAGGGCACCAGTGAAGGATGATAGGTGAGGATGAAGCAGGTCAGTTAGCCCATCGTGACGAATTCAACAAGAATTGTTCACGATGGTTTCCAGGGGGAACCACGTGGAGGTCGACCTAATAGGGCATATTGTTAGCAATGGGGCTGTCAAACTCCATTGCCAACAATCCCTTTCCCCCCGATAAGTTGTGCTATCTACCGTCATCCTTCCTGAGTCAATAGAAACTCTGAAGTGTTGCAATAAATATTTATAGATCCAACTAACTCCCTGTAGGAAAAGAGTAATATAACGTTGTTGACAATACATTATTTATTTCCATATAAAATATTTTATAGTCATTATTATGTGTATTTTATGAGCCATATATTTTTCAATCAAGTATCACATTGCTTCTGTGATCAGGTATCTATAAAACGTACAGATATAAGCACCTTTATTATCTGTTATAAATTGTAATATCAAAGTTTAAATGTAATCTTTATTAATGATATAAATGTGGAAGTCAGTTTATTATTTTTTGGCATATATAACGGTTTAATCACAAAATTGTTTAACATAGAGGTTTTCTGTACGTATACAGTTTTTATAGTAATTGACATTACGACCTAACTACTAGGTTTTTCTTTTTTTAATGGATAATAATGGAATTTATTTATTTTATTTTATTTATTTATTTATAAACTCCACCATGGTAACTCCACCTGAGCTAACGGTATACGCTGGCAAGGCACCACTGAGGGATAACAATTGAAGATATAAAAGCAGGTCAGATCATCGCGATGAATACACCTGGTATTCAACACGATGGTTTTCAGAGGGGACCACGGGAACATCGCTATATGTAGCGCTCCACTGCTTCCGGAATGGACAGTCTGGCTTCTCTGCAATTACCTTCAGGATGCTGTTGGCGTTGTCGCGGATCTTACGCTACTAGGAGGCAGTTCTCCTTCTCATAATGGCCAGAAACCGTCTGTATATGCTTTCGCCTAAAGTACTACAAAATAATAACACTACAATAGTAGCAGAGATTGAACATATTTCTTTTCCAGGATATTGATGCAGCCTGCCTCGCTAGCTACAGAGAACCCTGCACTTTCCAGTCTACATGTCCGTGCGCTTTCGCTGAATCTGTAAGCGGCGTAATCAGCTGCCCAAGCGCTTGTTCCGCTACTTCTAATCAGCTGTGTAATTGCGGACTACCTGCTTGTAGCTGCTTCAAGGACACGGCGAAAGTTTGTGATACATGCCATGCAAAAAAGTCACCAATGTGCTCGTGTTTGGCTAATCTTGATGTAGGATGCGACTGCGACGCGAAGAAATCTTTCATTTACTTCCCGGAGGTCGAATATCCATTGTCCTTGATAGAAATGAACCCTTTGTTCTTTAATACGTGTTGGTTTCCTTAATTATTAATGGCTATAATCATTGTTTAATTATCCAATAAAGATATTTCGTTACACATGTTTTTTTTTGGTGGGTGAAAATAGAATGGTAACCCTGCCCGCGCTAACGGAATACGCTAGCGGAGCACCAGTGAAGGGTGATAAATGAGAATGAAAACAGGCCAGTTAGCCCATCATGATGAATTCATCAGGAATTAATCATGATAGTTTCCAGGGGGAACCGCGATTAGGTCGACCTAGTTGGGTATATTGCTGGCAATGGGATTCTTAGTCTCCATTACTAACAAACCCTTTCCCCCCGTTACACATGTTTGTTTTTTATTTTTCCTTATTACGATAGTTCTAAGACTGATTCTTTTATGTGCATTCTTCTATCTATTTGTCTATCATATATCATTATATGTGCCATTATCTGTAAGCTGTTCAAAATAGATCTTCCATATAGACCGTCATAAGGAAGTTTTTTTATGGATGAAAATAGCGTGGTAACCCCCCACCTGCGTTATCGGTATATACTGGCGGAGAACCAGTGAGAGGTGATAGATAGGTGAGGATGAAAAAGCAGGCTAATGCCAATCGTGACGAATTCAACGATAAATTAGTTACGATGGGATGTAACCTCTCTGTTACTAACAATCCCTTCCCTCCGTTATAAGGAAATTATGGCAGTTTACTATTGGAGATATTTTGCCAGTAGTTGCCACGCTTGGCAGGCAGGTTGGCAACGCAGAACAATTTTCAGTGATGTTTTAAGAGGGACGCTGCTGCTCGTCATTTGACCATTAGATCCCTTTAGTCACCTCTTACGACACCCACGGTTATTATAGGTATCCACAGGAAATAAAATAAAACTGTTTCAAAATTGATATAGTAAATCTATATTATATATGTATTATTGGTTTCCTTTTTCTATTTTTATGGTACATGAAATAGCGAACTAGCTAACAGCCCAACAGATAAAAAAATTTCAGTTCTAGATATGAACTTCTTTTCTTATTTATTTATTTATTCATTAGTACAAATATGTGTACATGGCGGACTTAATGCTAAAAGCATTCTCTCCCAGTCAACCATAGGGAAGTGTCGGAATACTCGAATGCGGTACTACTAATTATTGATATACAACATACTAAAATTACATATATAAACGAATAAATATATATAAATAACAAATATACTTACACATATATGATATATACACGAATTTGGGAATAATATAAATCAATTATTGCTCGGATAAAAATAAAAAGTGAGCGTGAACACTTTTTTTGAAAAACGGTTTAGTCGGTAGTCTCTTAATGGCATCAGGAAGCGCGTTCCAGAGTCGTGAAGAATGTAGGAGAAAAGAGTTTGAAGCGTAACCAGTACGGTGAGAATTAATTATTTTTTCTGTGAATATCGTAGAAAATATTAAGAAAAATTAAATACAAATGAATAAATAAAAAACAAAATATCAACAAACAACAGATTTTGATTCAGATAAAATATATAAAAAAAATAATATACAAATATCTACGAATAAAAAAAAGGACCAGCATTCGTATATCAACAACAGCAGACTTGTATATAGAAACTTTGCACAATACGGAGAAATATAAATGGAAACATTTTTTTTCTTGTGCCTCAGTTGATAAGTCAATTCACGAGTACGGTACGTCAATACAAAGTTTGATATGACTTCTTAACTTCAAATATAAGTCAGTTTTTTCAAAGAACAATGTAATTCCTTGTTCTTAGGTTTTTTTTTCTATTACATACCTATTTCACAGAACATTGCAACACACACACGTGCACGACGTACACACATACCTGTATATTTTTTTTTATGCAACTTAAAATATCAAACAAACTGACGGCTCAGCTGATGGAAAGTGGCAACCGTTACCTATTAGTAGTATTATGGACACAACAGAGTACACTGCTTCGCCCATGCGTTGTCATTCCTGAGGATTCAGGTGTTATTCCTGTGTACCCTATAAATTTACTGCCATATCCCTTCAAACCGAAGACACACACACACACAGCCATGCGAACATAACTGATTCATGGTAGAAACACGAATGGGACAGCGGACAGAGGACTTTTGTACAAAGTCTCCCTCTGAAATTGCGGCTTCATTTAAGCACAGAATGGTAGATGCTTTTGAATCGTTTATTCTTTTTTTATTTCCTTGTTTTATGTTTCAACTGTCCATTGCTGTCCAGTTGCCACATTTAGCAGGCAAGTTGGCAACTGCAGTTAGGCTTTGGTGATGTTTTAAGAGGGACGCTGCCGACCATTTGTCGACCATTAAATTTCCTTAGTCGCTTTTTACGACACGCACGGAAAAAAAAGGCGTCCCATTCTATGTCAGGACTATACGGCGAACAGATAAACTGATTATGTATAATACAAATACACATAAACCGATACATAATTAGGGATGATAGCATTTCTAAAATGTTGGTTCATATATCTGCAAATATCTATACTAGAGGAAAACTTTGTACAAAAGTCGTTTGCTTGAGGCACCTTTGTCCTATTCGTGTTTCGGTTTGAAGGATGGGATATGGCAGTGAATTTACAGGGTACAGAGGAATAATACCTAAATCCTCAGGAATGGCAACGCATGGGGGGTATCATGGGCGAAATAGTATATTCCATTATGTCCATGGCACTGCTCATGTCTATAGGCGACCGTTACCACTTTCCATCAGATGGGCCGTCAGCTTGTTTGCTATTATCTAAGTAGCATAAATAAAACTTATAGATTGTTTGCAATAACATGGCGTTCCCATCGAAAATCCAAATTATTAAGAATGTGTGAGTAAGAATATTTAAGAGGTTTCGACCAAGGAATATAATACTTCTGTGGCCGAACCACTGAAGACGTCTCCTCACAAACACAAACAGAGCAGCAATGTCTGTATATAGTCATACATATGGAGCCATATCTATGTTCATGCGTGCAGTGCAATAAAATTGTTGGTTTACTAAGAAATTGTTAATTTAGCACTGCACGTGCTTAGGTCAATGTGTCGCCCCGCCAGTTTTGTATTAGATTCCTATATTTGTATTTTAGTATATAGATCATTTTTATTTCTTAACTAGCGGCCCGACCCGGCGTCGCACGGGTGGGCATTTTTACATTTTAAAAAGTGGCCATTAAGACTGCACACGCGACGGAAACTTAAAAATGGAGTAACTTCTCCTGTTTTCTCAACATTTCCCTTCACTGCTCTGCTCCTATTGATCGTAGCGTGATGAAAAGTATACTATAACCTGTCCAGGAGTATGAAGAATAATTGTACTAAGTTTCGTTAAAATCCGTCGAGTAGTTTTTGTTTCTATAACGAACATACAAAACAGACAGACAAAAATTTTACTGATTGCATTTTTGACATCAGTATCGATCACTAATCACCCCCTGATAGTTATTTTGGAAATATATTTAATGTACAGAATTGACCTCTCTACAGATTTATTATAAGTATAGATTTTGCCAGTTATAACCGAGCCATTGGAAATATACATTTTCACAAACTTCATCGTATCAATACAACCAGCAACAATACACATTGAAGTAAAAGGTGTTGGGGCGTGCCATGTGAACATAGACTGTCTATATACATTATATATTTATATTATTGTATACAGGATAAAGATCAACTGCGTTCTATTAAGAGATCACTTAAATGTTATTTTAAATGACATATTTTTAAGAAAAAAAAAAATACATATATGTAAGTAAAAAACATGCTACCCTACTCTTGAAAGTATGTTTGGTAGGAAGTAAAGGGATTACAATAATATCCGAGTTTCCCGCGAGTTTATCCCCGCCAAGTATATTTATGGGCCGTTTTATGTCTGAAATTTAACGAAACAGAAATTATAGCTAAGAATAAGACCGATTTATTGCGACAGCAACCATACTTCTCGGTCAAGGGTGACTAATGTTGCCACATATAAAGTATGGAATTAAAGGATAAAATTGTGCCTAGTATTTGCATTTTTATGGCATATACCGGTGTCAACCTAATTATTAAATTATTAATAATTAGGTTGACACCGATAATTATTTGCTCAATAATTTCACATAGGTACATACATACATATCTGTCTTACCTATCTTCCATTAAGGTAAAGATAAACAATGGAATGCCAAATGTTTCTATTTAAACAAGCCTCTTTTGCTTCCTTCACATGCATCAATATTTTCATCCAGGTTAGCCGGCTACAGGTGTTTTTAATTTGGCCTTTCTTCAACACGTCGTTTATTTGGTCGAAAAGGAACGTATCCTCTAGAGCGGCCCCTAACAACATCTCCATTCATTCTTGCTCGATAAATTTCTTGCGTAATTCCTCTTATCGAGGGAGACTTTGTACAATAGTCGATTGCTTGGGTACCTCTGTCCCATTCGTGTTTCAACCGTGAAGCAGTTGTGTTTGCATAACTGTGTTTCGGTTTGAAGGGTGAAATATGGCGTGAATTTACTGGGTACAGACGAATAACACCTGAGTCCTCAGGAATGGCAACGCATGGGAGAGTATCATGGGCGAAACAGTATACTCTGTTATGTCCATGGTACTGCTCATGCCTATAGGCGACAGTTGCCATTGTCCATCAGGTGGGTCGTCAGCTTGTTTGCCATTCTAAGTTGTATAAAAAAAAAATCCTCTCCATTCAACATTCCTTTATCTCGGCTATTTTTTATCTCTACAACGTCTTTAAGTCCACACTTCTCTCTAATCCTGCACTGTTTCTCCTTCTACTTTACATTATGATAAACTAATTTATGAAAATATTTTTAAATTATAAATTTTAATTAAATTTCTCCATTATGTAATTTTTTATGATTTTCGTATCCTCCATAAATGTAAATGGCTGGCGACATTAATCGTAATTGAATTTTTACGGTTCCACACGGTGGTGACGCGGAATTTACGATAACTGCTCTACGCGTACACGTGAATGGGTAGTAAGCCTTTATTGATTGAGTGATGATTTAGGAAACATTTTGCAAGTTAAAGAAATCTTATTTACAAGCATAATACATAATGTTTTTAATAAATTT